GACTTTAGGGCACGACATACTTTGCGGCAGCCCACACCGACGAAGGGGTTTTCTTTGGGAATCCTAACCGAAGTCTTTGACTCAAGAATCTGACCCACAAGGCAGTGGGGCGTAAATTCAACGCGGGAGCGTAAACGAAGCACCCGTGTAAGAGCTTCTCGACCACTGATTGTTCCTGTCAAACACGAACTTCTCGCACAAGAAACGTCATTGACTTACATGGAAACCGCCAACCTCTTCACTGCGCTGGACCCAAATCGACCACATCGCCATCGGTTACCGCTGGAGGGGATCAATTCAAGATTGTCGCTCTTACCGGCCAACAGCTGTGGATACAGACCACGCCTTGTTACGAGCCAAGTTCTCCTTACGCCTGGCAAACAACCGCAAAAAAGCCACCGACAACGGATACCCACGATACAGTGTCAGCGATTCATGCAAATCGGCATTGCAAGCGGAGCTCCCCGATCGCCTGTCAGTTCAACCACCAGCCGAAGGACTCAATGAACTGAACTGAACTGAACTGAACAGAACTGAACTTCAGGATTTATTTATTAATGCCGATCTCCGGGACACAGAAGCGCCTTGTGTTCAATCTTTGACCCCGGGCAACAGCGGAAAACTTCATATGCGATATACGTTCCTACCCAGTATACCACTGATGTGAATCTGTCCTATTTAACTGAAATGATGACAAGCACGACAACAGAATTTCTCTCAACGCATCCATTACGTTCGAACAGCAGTATCAATGGACAGGTTTTAACGTGAATACGCCTTCGTTCGCGCCTACCAAAACAATTCTTGGAATCAGACTTTTACTGTCTTAACTGACGTCAGTTACGGAATAACAGATAGATCCTGATACTTTAGACAACAAATTTTATAAGAATCGCGTTGGGAAGAAAGTTCGAAAATAACAGTTAATCAACTGCAAACTGTCACCTTAAGTATCACGTACCAAATTCAAAAGACACCACCTGTAAGGTTACCCGTACATCGCGTACCAATAACACTTGCAATCTCCCATATAGTATAAAGTAAACAGGCACACAATAAACTAACCTGTTGCAGAAGCTCAGAGCAGAGACCAAGATGGTGTTGCACGGCAATAAAAGTGAGCCTCTGTAGACGAACTGTGATCATTTGCAAAATACGCATGAGAGCAGGTGTCTGGGGTTTGCATATGTCCAGAAACGAACGAGTGGGCAAACGAAGTACCACACTTGGCTCTAAAGCAATGGCTTCCATTGAGTTATGAATAGGTGGATTGTTAGTCAGCACTCGAAGTACCGAAAAGAAGCTGTCTATACTTCCGCCTTTTCCAACTTCGTTAACCACGGAATGGGATCCATCCTGAAGAGACAGAAGTTTAAATAAGTAGAAGAATAAGGATGCTGTGATGCACAGTACAAATAAAAAGTAATTAATTGCGGGGAGGGGGGAAATCCGAATAATTATTTACTTTCAGCCGAATCAACTTCATCGTGACGAGATTGTGCATTGACGTGGTTTCGTGGATTGCGAACCTCCGTGATCCTACCAACTTTCCCTATCAAACTTCGAAGGGTTGATGGGTGGAGGCCAAGCACAGCTTAGTCTCACAAAGTCAGACAATTGGGCATTCCCTCGCTTTCGCCCGCACAGGTCTCTACACCAAACAATACAGGTAGAAGAAACTTACCGATCAAACAACCCCGTTAAATGAATGCAGGATTAGGATACCCTGGTCTTTTTAGCGAAGGTGGGAGATTTCATTATAGTTCATAGGGCAACTGCAACCCATTCAAGCTGGATGAGCTCCAGTCAATGAGTTGCTGTCCCGTCCACGTTTCCTTCGTCTCACTGGGTGACTAAAGGCAAGGGCCGCTTCCGAAAGGTGAACCGACAACCAACGCACCAGCTTGAACGAAGCACTCGTGTGAGAGCTTCTAGACACCTGTCACGCAGGGCCTTTGAATTTCGGTTGTTTGTTGTTCGCCGGTGCGTTGATTGTTGGTCCACTTTTCGGGATCGGTCCTTATTCTCATGCACCCAATGAGACAAGCGGAACGTGGACGAGACAGCACCTTATTAGCTGGGGCTGCCCAGCTTGGGCGGGCGGTAGCTGTCCAATGAAGTGCGAACACTTCTCCCACCGTCGACAGGAGGTCCCAGGTACCCCGCTCATACGTCCTTCTAGTGGAGGTGTAGAGGGAGGGGAGTTGACCGGCAAACTGCCCCTCGTCGCGGTTATTTGCTGGAGTGACCTCTCAAGGGATTGATGAGGATAGGAGGAAGTGAGGAGGGGCCCAAGCGTTTGAACAAAACACTGAACCGAAATCCATAAGGACCATAAGGAGCAGGTTGGAAGAAGCTCACGTACAGACGCTTTAGTCGTATCCGCGACCAAAATTACAGTTCGAAGTTATTGTCAGAGTTCACATAGAAAAACCCCTCCATTGGCTATCGTGAAGTGCGCCATGCTCCGAATTTTCAAGTAATTGTTTGGAAAACCTCGTCTATCTATTTNGGCAAACTGCCCCTCGTCGCGGTTATTTGCTGGAGTGACCTCTCAAGGGATTGATGAGGATAGGAGGAAGCGAGGAGGGGCCCAAGCGTTTCTCTAGGTGAAAGCAAATGGTGAGCAGTCATACCCGGAGACCTACCCCGAGCATACACGGACTTCCATAGTGCACACAGATTGCCACGGCGCTTTCTATTTGTCGAGGTAGGAGATGGGTGGAAAAAAGTAGAGATTGATCAAACGAAGACCTAATGTGAGGACATGAAAACCTTGATGAGGATTTTTGCATCCCGGGGGGATCATCGGGACTGACAGTTAGAAAACCTGAGTGATTTGGGTATGTCACTCCTGCGTCCTATCAATCTTTTGGCAACCTTAGTCTACCTAAATTCTGTAACTTCTCACTGGCAATGCTTCCAATATTTCAATTATCTCTCCACTCCATCCTAATGGGTTGCCAAAACCGCCGCACCGGCGTGCATGGTTTGTCCAAAGTGTCAGATCCGAACAACGTTCGGAGTGTATCGGAAAATCGATGCGTCATGTGATATGTTTTACATAAGTTGTAATTTTGAAAACACAGCGATGCCGGTACAGGTGTAAATTAGCCGACGTTTCGGTTACCGTTTGTAGGCGATTGTACAATCGATTGTAAAATCGCCTTGATAAAGAGTACCCACGGTAACGGAAACGTCGGCTTATTTTCACTTGTACCGACATCGATGTGCATGGTTTATGTTTGTAAAAACTAGAGACTTCCGTAAACATGTCCCTTATTCTTCCCAAATGAGTTGAGCCTAACTTCCTCTTCGTTCCAGGATTTCTCTTTTCATTCCTAGGTTTATCCGTAGGTAGTTTTTCTGCTAGTTTCCATCTACATCCACGCTTGCTCCAATACCGGCCAGTCAACAAACCGTCTTTTGCCTCCAGTCTGCGATCGCTTTCCCATCGCCGTTCATTTGATTCTTACCTCCGCACCTTTACTATTTGGGCTTTAGCCTCTTGTAATCGACTCCGGTAGTTACCCTCTCTCAGTTCTTTTTCATCCACTTCAGGCGGTCAGCCAGACTTATTAAGTTTATGTTCCTAAACGTCCGTCTCCTTTATCTAGTCTTCCGTTTGCCGCAGGACTGCCGCATTTTGAAACACTCCTCCCATTTCCGTATCTCTTGCCACTTGAATCCGTTCTCTTCCAATGCAGAACCAACGAATAGCTTCTCAGCTGGATGCTCCCTCGTGCAGTATGTCTTTGACCATGGGGGTTTATCCTTTTTGCCGCAAATTCAATGCTTTCCGCTGGGTTGGGCAATTGTGTTATATGTGGATATCTTATATATGTAAGGTAGACTTAGTTTTCCACTACTGAAGTACTAGATTTCGTTCTGTTCCAACTAGTTTGTCGTTGAATGTGTGCTTAAGCTCCACCTGTCTGTTGCACATTCTCTCCCTCTCGTAGCTCTGCTGGTTTTCCAAGTTTGTTTTCCGCATTAGCATACAGTGGAAGGAATGATTCAGATAACGAGTCAAAGTGGTAGTTGTTGTTGTTGAATGTGCTTCCACTGTTCACTTTGATGGTACAGACAAGATTATAGCGGCCTCAATGAAAATGACCCAGTGGATGATCAATACTAACAGTTTCAGTTAATTTTGATGGAATAACCAATAATCGTACAACTTCGTTCACGGGTTCCGGTTGCTGTCTTCCGACTGCCCATTCGATCTATCAATGAAGGATGAGTGGGCGGAAGAATTGTGGTCTTTTTAATGCTCTTTGTTTATTGACTTCACTATGATAAAGGTGATGTGGTTTATCGGAGACTCTCTGGGAATAAACAGAAATGCGAAAAATGGGCGGCACATTTGAGCACACAACCTCCAGGCTAATGGGGTGGTAACCTTAACCGATTCGCCAACGTCAATCAGTATAGTATAGTTCACACTTGTCTAAGGACAGACTGTGTGCCGGGCAAATCATGAAACAATAATCTTTACAAAAAATAGAGTAATGTCAAGACAGATACATAATTCGGATTAAATAGGTATGCATAGATAGTAAATAGATGCACGAGCACCACACTGTTGGCACTCAGATCTGTTTATTTCATTGCACAGACCATTGGTGCATTTCTACAAGACCGAATTCGATAGAATATCACACAACTTACTTGGAAGTTGTGATTAGAATAAACAAATTTTGATCTACTGTTGATGTTACCGTTTTCGTCTTGTATGGGTTAGGTGTTTCTGTTTCGTAAAAGAAACACTAGGGATTTAAATAAGGTCTATTTTACCGTATACTTGACTACTATGTTAGAAGGTACCAAAGGGACATTTTTTGAAAGAAATTTCATACAGTTGCATTCTCTATTAATGACAGTAAAGGGATCGTGTGCTAAAAAAATCTATTCATAATTCATACTTAGTCTCAGTATTTTTTCATTATTCTACCTGATACAATTTTATCCCTGTCTCTCTTCTGTATCTCCCAATCTAGAGATTCTGAAGTGGCCCAAATTCCATCGTTGCTACTTTTCTATCTGAAGGAGAAAGTGCCCCAAGTGTTGACCAGAGTTGTTAAACTTCTCTCAGACAGGTTGTTGGGGAACCTAACCAGTCAGAACCAGATGAACGATCCTCTAGGATTGTCTGCCTTGGGTGCTCGAACTCGTCGCGGACTCAGTTCCGAGGTGTTTTCCGCCTCGTCCGAAAGCGAGGATATCACTGCCAACAACAATTTCGCAAAAATCACCATGTCCAATTTGCGTACTATTGCCATTCTTCCGGCGACCAGTGCGATCAATGCCGAAGCGTTCACCTTGGAGCTGCAGCATTCCATGACTCCCATTGGTTCATCCGTGCGATTGACCTCACGTGCGTTCAAACCTTGTATTTCTGCTTTATCCATCGTCCATGTGGATTCCTCTTTTTGTCATCTTTGAATGACTCATGATACATGGGTTTTACACCTTACTTTTGCACGAGTTTTCTGCCATAGGATTAGTGGGCTCCATGAACCACAACAATCTGTAGAGATAGTCGAGATTTCTTGTTAGACAAAAACCATCGCTTTCTCGGGGATCGCACTACTCGTTTGTGTTAGCCTGTTTAGTGAGCCCAAGCGCACCCTTTTCCTCGGCGCTGTGGCCNTCTTATCCATGGCTTGAAGTAGTGCTAGTTGGCATGCAGCCTTGCTCCGGTTATTTCCACGGTGCGATTTAAAGATGACCAACAAGATCGCGATCTTATGAAGGTTTGGTCATTTTTTGTTATCCTGCTTCTCTTATCTCTCATCAGTTCTATTGAGGGTCTCGCTATCGAAATGTCTGCAGGGACCAAACGTACATTGTTCTCGGACACACTCCAGTTCCGGTTCAACAGACGATAATTTCTTTGGAAATATTGGGCTCATTTTATCAACTAATTTCAGTAGCTGCCTTTCATCATGCCAGTAAGACTCTGAAATCTACATCGTTTCACCAGCTTATCGCCCCGTTAGTCTTGTGTTCGAGCTCCGCCATCGCCGTCTCACTTCCTCATTGTTTTATTGTTGGACGTTAGCCCTGTTGATTGACCTTTTTCCCCTCTGTTACGATTATTTATTCAATAAAAAGAAGTGAAATAACGCAGAAAAGCATTCCGTATATCGATTTCTCCCACCGGTCACATTTATACTTGTGTGAAGCCCATTCGGTTGTTTGTCTTGTTGATCGCCGCTTCTGCCTCTTGGTCTTTTTTTACACTTGCAGCGATCGCTCCCCGCGTCAACCCACACGCTATTCTGCCACATATGTGAATTCGCTTGTTCAGCTTCGTTAGCTGTTTGCTCTGGTGCGTTGCTAATACAACCAATTTGGCCAATCCATCCGGTTGCTGTCTTTCTCCGCATGAGTGTAGGATCAGTGCAGATCAAGATTCATTCCATTGCATGACTGGAGTGTCGTTTCACCACCACTATTTTTTTAGCACAACCTTCGGTATCAGTGCGCTGACCAAGAGCTGACTGCCTGTTTAAACAAGCATGTGATTGTCTCTTGAGCTAAAACATTTAAAATGGTCACACTAATGGATTCGTCAAACGTTACGAAATATCTGTTCGAATTCGCTTTTGTGTTCAGTTCCAGTTTGGTTTTCACAACCATTCACCTTGCACTTTTCCGCGATAGTTTTCGTTGCTGTCTTTGGGTCGCTCATTTGGATGAAGGTGCAGAAAACTGAGCACACAGTGAAGATGGAAATTTCAGGCGGATTTAGGTTGCGAAGATTTTGGGCAGGCGCGCGAGAACTACTGTCTGTGACACCCAGGCATATCATTTAGTGTACCTGATTCGTTAGGTAGTGTTGTGTTGTATTGTGTCGTTGGATTAAGGCACTCCGGAACTGATTTTGTGTCTAAACACATACGATCTGAGGCAGATAGTCTTTCAACCCGATGTGCCTGTTTGACCACTCACTTGGTCGGATGCATGACGTTTGCCAGGGGTTCGTCTTAGTTGGTGACCAGTCGGTTCTCTGTGCGACGCGTGTATACATGCATCAATACCATATTAAACATCGGCCCGTATTGTATGTATCAGGGTTCTAAATTGAAGGTCCTCAGCTCGCGGTTCTACTCACAATTTTAGTCTTTTTAATTAACCATTGACTACCTAAGGGGGTAACAAGGAACAAAAAAGACATGCGCCTCCCAAGGCCTCAGTATGGTTGGGGGTGGGTGTCTAGGGTTGCGGCTGGTCACCCTGTCCTTGCACCTCACGAAATGCCCTCATACGACCAAGCGTCTCAAATAGCCTCTGCTGAGGAAGCCCTACTCACTGCCTTCTCGCGGCGGAGGTGTTTTCCCACCAAAGTGAGAGGACGAAAAGCCGATATCCGGGGCTATAGCCGGGTTGGTGGACCACTGGCAGTTCACCTAGGGGAGTTGGCCAAAAACCCTGATTCCAAACCAACCATGAGGAGACGTACGAACCACACCCACACTTTTTCGGTTGTGGCAGTGGTCACCGGCTCGATTGGACATTGAGGTGTATTGGGCNTTTCGCACACCGCCCCGCTGCCTTGCGGGTCAGGCTTTGGCTAGCCGAAGGATCCGGTTGTGGATTCCTCAAGAAAATTCACCTACCTTGGCCTGGGCAACCTGGTAGTACTCAGCCCACAAACTAATCATGGAACATTTTCTTTTTTATAAAGATTATTGTACCGTGATTTGTTAGGCACACAGTCTGTCCTCAGACAAGTGTGAAATATATATATGCGCTCTGTGCACGATCTCGGAATTGTAACGTCTTATTCTGTTTTCTTTTAAGGAAATAGATTAGATCATAAAGAGTCTTGGGTGACCTTTTTCGGTGAAACATTTGTGTTTGTGTATTGTCAGACCTCAAAGTTGGCGGTTCTGCATACCAGTCATGTATGCTGACCAGTTCGAAGTTGTGTGAAATATCCATGACCACGCAAATGCGACATCTGTCAGTCATTATGGTTGAGAGTTGTTGATAAAGTATTGAAAATCGGTTGAGATGTATTAATCCATCGTTTTTCGGCCAACCCGTGTTCTTAACGACTATATTAGAAGAATGGCTTTCAATTTTTCAACCCTAGCATAATCTAGTGTTCCGTTGCTTGCCGAGCTTGTTAGTTCATTTTCTCAGCGACGATATTCAGCTTATGAGGAAATATATTTGCAATCTTATTTTAAAAGGAGCAAGATCAATCACACCATTAACCAATCTCTTGAATAGAGCACTTTGTTATTTCAGTCTGAAATTTGTTTTAAAACCCACCCGAAGTCTAACCGTGTACTGCTAATTCCTACTGACCATATACGTGTATGTATTAATTTCGTTCGGTTTTTCTAGGTATCATCCGAAAACGTTTGGGTCCCACTGCGTTGGACAGTGTGAATCAGTACCGGTTGAATGCCTGGCTCGGTCTTCAAGAAGATTTGCATCGTATGGTATTTTTCGTCTGCAACAGTAGTCGTTCCTCTGCCTGGAATCGTTTGTGCATTCGTCAAGCGGACTGTGTCCTGGTTTTGGCACTCGGAAACTCTGATCCTTCTCGACCATCTCCGATTGAAATGACATTGAAAAATCACCCTACCAAAGTAAATCTTAAGTCGGACAGATTTTATTCTTTCCATACGCACGTATATCCTTTTCAATGTTTCACTAAATTTCATCCCAAAGAGTCGCAGTTTTCATCTGACGTCGGTCGATATTTGGGTTTCCTTTTGACGATCCTAGTTTCAAAGCGGTCATATCAGTGTTAATAATTTAGAACTACGTTGATTATTTAGGTAACAGTCGAACTCAACCGTGTCATTAGTTGATTTCTATTATTATTATTATTTTTACATCTCACACATGTACAGACTACGGACTACGTCTCAAATACATCATGGAGCAATAATCTTCATACCATGGAAATCATCTCATGTTTTGCTCTTGGTCGTGATACTAACTGGTTTCCCAAAACAGAACATGTCATTCGCTTAGACTTTTTCAGTCACGGTTTTCATCTTACACACCCTAGCCCGGAAAATATCTGGGATTTGCATGATACCCAATTCCACTAGTGGACGTTATTTAGTGATTCGGATCCTCCGTCCTTAGAAAACGGTTCGAATATTCAAGGGATCCAATACGCCCCATCGACCCGCCAACCAGTTAGTATAACTGTCCTCTACCCGAGACAAGCCTTGATAATTCTTTGATACTACATAGGGGGTTACTTTTTTCTATCTGCAGCGAACTAGACAGTAACACTTGTTCTCTCAAGCTGAAACTAGATTTCATCTAGTTTTTCACATACTAACGTTGATTCTGTCCGTGGTGTGCGCAAGGATATCTCTCAACGCATAATCAAAGGTAGATTAGCGTTTGCTAATCTGTGGCATCTCTGGCCCCGGCGTGACGTTTCCCTATCAGTGAAAGAGCGTGTGTATTGCACACCGTGTTGCTCTACAGCTGTGAAACTTGCCATCTCCAACCAGATCATGTCCGTCTTCGACAACCGTTGTCTGCGCAACATCTCCCGCGTATGGTGGGAACATCGCGTGAGTGACAATGAGGTCAAACGATCTGTGTTAGGGCCAGGCATTCTTCCACTCAGAAAAACCATTTCGCTACTTCGTCTGAGGTGGCTGGGGTGCGTCCTACGAATGCCTGAGCAACGTCCGCCACACCGTTTACTATTCGCAGACATTGGTCCGGGTTGGAAGAAACAGCGGGGTGTGCAGGCTATGACGTGGCTCAGTGAGTTAAAGATATGCTCGAATCTGGCTTCTGTTGGGTCCCCGAAGATTCAGATTGTCTTTGGCTGGAGTCACTACGGGATATAGCGTCGAACTGAAGTCAGTGACATGTATGCATCCCCGTTTGTGTTCAGTTCCAAAAAATGAAACAAACAAACAATAAGAGCCAAAATTGCATACGGTGAACACGTAAAAGAAAGTTATCCCCATTTTTATTTTCTTTCTTGTTCTGTTTATGTAATTCTCTTTCAATTCATGGTTATATTACCACCGTGTCTGTAAAGATTGGATTTAAATATATGCTCTATGTGACATATAAATCAAATCAAGTCATGACTATATATACATATATATATATATATATATATTTGTTGCGGTTAGTAGCATCTAACCCACTGCAAAACATCGAATCATAACATTGATTCTTCATTGGACTGGCTCTGAAAGAGCTGTCTATCCAATGGTCACCCGGCGTTGCAAAATAGTTATTGTGACGAAAATACACTTCCTGGGTACAAGTATATGAATGAATTGACAAAAGATTACCGGATACGCATGCCTGACGAGCGGCAAAAATCGCGAAACCGGTCGTGTGCTTCCAGGGAAATTTTGTCCAGTCATTCACATACTACTTATTATCATATATATATATATATTATATATATTATATATATATTAGCGTCACTACTAAACAACTGTGTTGATTCCAAAGGACAATGAAACTGCGGCTGATGATGAGACTCATACCTAGTTTCTTTCGAAATACTTCACTAATCGTAGCGTTCTAGGTTTTAACGCTACAGTTTGCCTGATTGACCCGTTAGCACAAGTTCACTGAATGCCTGGAATATAAATTCACATATGGTGCTTTTCTGTCCCGCAATAGATTCATACTCTCCTTTTCCGTTTGATGGCCTTTAGCTACATAAAGAATAACTGAAGAACGACCAAATTCATCTGCATAAAACACCTCAAAATCCGTTTGGGCAAATTAATTTACCATGATTGATTTTTGCTCGTAATGCTACTGATCACTCACTACTACTGATTCATATAATCTATGCGTTTTGTAGGTAGCCAAAGCGCTCGTTCTGATGTATCCACTTGACACGGACTATCCGATCAGTCGCCAAACTGCCAAATGGCTTAATGTTCGTCCTTGGATCAGTCATCATTATCACATCCGCTGTGAACCGCGCGTCTTCACTCCTCGCAGTCCGGACGATTTGTTGTCGTTCTATTCCAATGTGTTTGCTCGCGAGAAACCGAATCCACTGTCCGATTTTTCTCGACTCGCACGTTATCTGACGGGTGAAGCAATCGCTTTGGTCTTGGGTGGAGGGGGCGCTCGTGGTTGTGCTCACGCTGGTGTGATACGAGCGTTTCAGGTTTGTTTATGTTTTGTTCTGTCTGTACAGGCGTCACTTGTTTAAGTTTTCCATGCTGTGCTGTATCACGGTTCCGTTCGTGTTGAATATCTCAGGGTCCACTGATTCGACGGTCACTTACGGGTTTCGGTGCCACCACCACTACTGCCACTCACTTCCAACAAAAGATGATGTCGTGCAAACAGATCCCAAAATCTCTGTTTTCGCCTTTTTCGATGACCTTTTTATCACTGTGAACATTTATAAAGTCGGAGAATTATATCTTTTCACTTTCAAGTGAACCCGACTAATCGTATTCTACTTGGAACCCCGCAAAGTGATTGGTGCTTCAGTCGTCATACGTCACCGATTGAACCGGGTTCATCAAATCCCCGTCGAGTTGGAATGGACTGATTTCTTCATAGATTCTCTGTAGATTGAGTTACCGATTGAGAATGAAAATGTCGGTGGGATGGCGTTCGACCTTTCGTCCCCCCCACCACATCCACCCTATCCGGAACGTTATGTCCTTGACCGTTGATCGAGTGAGCTTAAGACGAGAATGAACGAACCCCGAGGGTAATTGACTCCGGCCGGCCGTTTAAGTAAATGAATCACATCAAGATGGATCGGTAACTCGGTCACCATGCCCACGGTGAATGTTAGAATCAATCATTACATGAGTGGGTTCAATCTCTAGGCCCTCGATATCCTAGTGAGAAAATTCCATTGAGGCCGAGGTTCCCTCGAATAACATCGATTCCTTCGAACCAAATGCAATTTTATGGTGTTGAAGGACCCACTTGAAAAGATACTTGACAATGGTACAAGGATACAGTAAAAGAATTAACAGCATTCCACTTGAATAGCACGATCAAATTAGAACTTATTCATTTGTTAACAGAAATTACATTTTTTCTCTGCAATTCCCGG